TGAAATATTTTATCATTTTCAAAATATGAAATAGTCCTCAATTCAAAATTGGTATTTCTTCCAAACAGTTAAAATAATTTACATCCTTTACTCAGACTAAATTATAATGGAAATTTCATTTAAAAAAAAATCGGGTAACCATATATTTATTATAGGAAAAATTTTTTTCACCAAAAGTAAAGAATAACCAAAAAGACTAAATTGAGCCCTTTTTTAAAAAAAATTTTCCACAACTCAAAATAAAATGCTAAATAACGGGCTTTATATATATATTTATATATATATATATATATATATATATATATATATATCGAAAAAAATGTGTCCTTGGTTTCACAAAAGGATCTAAAACTCAATATGCTTGAAGATCCAATTCCACATTTAGAAAAAATGACAGTTTTGTCCGAGATTGTTCCAGTGGTCTAAACGATTCCAAAAATCTACGAAATTTTCTTTAGTATCAGTCCAACAGATATATGTATTTCCAAACATATATAGGTATATATATATATATTGTACATATATATAAATACAAGTATATAAAGTATATATGGAATACCAAATAAATATTTTTGTTATTATTTTATGCTGGCCTAAGCAGATATAATTATGTATTTTAAAAAATTATAAAATTTTAGTATTTTATAAAATCTTGTTTGGGAAAATGTTTTCCTTCATTTATAGAAAACCAGTTAAATTTCTATAATATAAATATATATAAGGATTATATATATATAAACTATTCATTTTATATTCTTTTAAATATATATATATATATGGACAAAAAATAAACAAATATATATATATAAAAAAATATTATATAAATTTCATAAAAATAACAATCCAACCCTGTTTTATTATATAAAGAAATAGTTTGTAATCGTTTGTTTAAATCATTATATTTTTTCGATATAAATTATATATTGTTTTTATATATTCGAAAAAGAGATTTAGCCGAACTTCCTCAAATTTATATTTCCAAAAAAATGGTGTTTGTTTTTTAAAAATCAAGAAAACATAGAGGTTGACAAGATTAACAAAAAGTAAAAAACTTTTCAAAAAAAAAACAAAGTTAATGTTTAAAAAGATTTTATGATTAAAAAATCACATTGAAAACAGAAAAAATATGTCTTGGAATTCGATCCTCAAGAATATGTAGAAAATTTAACATTTAAATAATATTTACAAAATCCTCATAAACTTTTGCCTAAAAAAATTAATTGGCATTTATTGAAAAGTGTGTTAATATGTCCCCCCTGTTTTTCAAAGCATATTAAGAAAAAAAAAACCAAAATCTATTTAAATCAAAATAAAAACAATGAATATAAAACATGATTGAAAGTAAAATTGTGGAAACAAAAAAATGAAAATATTTTTTTTCTTTCGATTATGAAAAAAGGAATTACAACCGTAAAAAAACGTTTTGGCTTGTCAAGTCTCTTATGTCTCTTCAATAATTTTTAATATATATAACAAATATATTTATATTGATTAAATAAATATTTATTTTATTTATTTTTGATAAAGCATCGGCTGGTTATAACCATATATAATATACCGTATAATTTAATTAAACCAGAAAAAAAATTTCATGAAATTTTCCTCCTTTTTTGATTTCTGCATTTTAGAAAAAAAAAACGAACCATGATCACAGACATTTTACATTGATAAAGCCCTTCATAAGTTGTGAGATGTACCTGTGAGTAAATTCTTTTGGGTTTCTTTAAGGCTTCGGCTACCTGGGATGCCTTCAATGAGTCTATGGGAACCTTTTCCAGTGAAACCGAAGGCTCAAACTACAACTGGAATGTCCTCACGTGCCATATTTTTTGAGATTTCGGCCTTGTATCCATTCATATATACAGTAGCGTCCAAAACTAAGGGACAAAATTTTAAAACCTAATATTTGTTAGAAATAACAACTGTGAAAAGCTGAAATTTTGACAACTGGTAGTCGTTATCATCCATGATAACATACTAAAATTTGAATCATTTGCAAAGGATAGAAAAAGAATTATAACAATTATTTATTTATTTTCAAAATAGGATCGTCCAAAAGTAAGGGACAAAATTGAGAAAAAACAATGTAAACAGTATGCTATATTCAAAAATACATGCGTTCAATGAGATTATCGGAACCTTTTAAACGTTGAAACCGATGGCTCAAAATCTACTCTGAATTGTTGATGTCCTACACAAGGAAAAGCCACACCATTAGAGATTTCAGCTTTGTGAAATATATATATATATATATATATATATATATATATATATATATATATATATAAATATATCATTGGATTTAGTTCCACTGTTTCATGCTAGATGCAATCAAATCTTGCTCGCAAAGCCTGACGATTGCATCTTTGCATGAAACAGACTGTCCCCTCTAAGTGTTAACTTTTATGTTCACAGGTTATGTACCAAAGAAGAAGTGACAAAAGAAAAGATATGATAATGAAGTGGAAAAAAAAGAAAGAAAACGTAAGAAGTAGACAAAAACAAAAAAGGAAAGAAAGAAACAAACAAAAAATGGAAACAACAATTAAAGAAAGAAACTGTCCTTAAGGCTATTAAAAAAATAAATAAAGAAGAAAATGATATTATGAAGGGGGAAATGAATAAAGAAATAATAAGTGAAACAAAGAACGAGATGACGAAAAATTAAGAAACAAAGTATGAAAGAAAAAGAAAAGAAAGAAAAGTTTAATTTATTTTCTTAGAAAGAAAAGAAAAACGAAAAAAGAAAGAAATGTATGAAAAATAGAGCGAGAATTACGTTGGAACTTCATCATTTTTTGCTAGTTCAAAGAAAGAAAGAAAGAAAGAAAGAAAGAAAAGAAAGAAGAAATGTATGAAAAATAGAGCAAATAAGTACGTTGAATTTCCTAAAAGAAAGAAAGAAAGAAAGAAAGAAAGAAAGAAAGAAAGAAAGAAAAAGAAAAAAGAAAGAAATGTATGAAAAATAGAGCGAGAAGTACGTTGAGCCAGGCGGGAGAAAGAAAGAAAGAAAGAAAGAAAGAAAGAAAGAAAGAAAGAAAGAAAGAAAGAAAGAAAGAAAGAAAGAAAGAAGAAATGTATGAAAAATAGAGCGAGAAGTACGTTGAGCCAGGCGGGAGAAAGAAAGAAAGAAAGAAAGAAAGAAAGAAAGAAAGAAAGAAAGAAAGAAAGAAAGAAAGAACAATTTGTCGAGATCGATGGATATGAATAATGGAAATAAACAATAAAAAAGCATAAAAAATAAGAAAAATATAAGGAACAGACTAAAACGAAGAAAGGAAAATAAAAAGTAAAAAAAAAATGAAAAAACTAATGAGTTGTCAATTAATTAATTAATTAAACCTTAAAAAAAAAAAATATATGAAAAAATGATTTGTCTGACGTTTGAATTATAAAAAAAAAAAAAGAAAGAATGATAAAAATGAGTGAAACATAACAAAGAACAAAGAAATACAGTCAAAAAGCAGATTAAAAATAGAAGAGAAAGTCAAAAAAAAAAGAAAGAAAGAAAGAAAGAAAGCTGTGACGTAGTCTGAAATTAAAAAGAAAAAATAGAAAGAAAGGAAGACGGAAAGAAAGTAAGAGTGGTGTAATGCAGACGGAAATGTATAACAAAAAGAAAAGAAAAAAAGAAAAATTCAAAAGAAAAAAGGAATGAAAAAAAAGAAAGAAAAAGAAAAAGAAAGAAAGAAAGAAAGAAAGAAAGAAAGAAAGGTATGGTGCAAACGGAAATGTATAAAACTAAAAGAATAGAAATTAAAAAATAAAGAAACAAACAAAAAAAAACAAAGAAACAATGAAGGAAAGGAAGAAGAAACACAGTTGTGATGCAGACGAAAAAAGAAAAGAAAGAAATATAAAAAGAAAAAAAAAAGGTCGGTCTAATCCAGACGGAAATGTATAACACAAAGAATTAAAAAAAAAAGGAAGACATTAAGAAAGGAAGAAAGAATTAATGGTGTGATGCAGACGGGAATTAATAACAAAAAGAATAGAAAGAAAGGAAGAAATTAAGAAGAAAAGAAAGAAAAAAGAAAGAAAAGTGTTATGCAGACGCAAAATTGTAACAAAAAATAAAGAAAGAAGGAAGAGATATAGGAAGAAAAAAGACAGAAAAAGAAAGAATCAAATTTACAGATTTGTATATCAAAAAGAAAAATGTCCGGAAAGAAATTTTAAAAAAGAAAGAAAGAAAGAAAGAAAGAAAGGCCTGTTTTAGGATGAAACCAAGAAAAAAAGCAACCTTTTCAAAAAAAAAGAGAAAAAAATAACAATGGAAACGAAAATGAACAATTAAAATAAAATATGTAAAAAAGAATTTAAAAAAGAAAAAAAACTAATAAATTTCAGACTAAAAAAAAAAACTTAATGAAAATACAAATTATAACATCCATGAAAGAAAAATTTTTAAAAGAAAAGAAAGAAAAAATCTGTTTGAAATGGAAATGCAAAAGAACGGAAAAATAAAGCTTAAGATTCTAAAAATAGATCAAGAATTTGTAAAATTGATACACAGAGGAGAGAAGAAAGTCAGCGGTATTTTTGATCTCAGCTTGTTTCGATTGATTTCTAATAAGAAAGACAATACAGTAACGCAATCTCTCCCCTCAAATAATAATAATAAAAAAAAAAAATGCTCCAAATAACCCCAAGAAATATATTGCGAAAAATAAACAAAAAACTACCAAAAAATAAGAAATAAAAATAAACCGCACTTTCCTAAAGTCAGAACGTAAAAATAAAGCATTATGAAAAAATTATTCCGACAATTAACTGAAATTCCATTGTCTGGTTCTATTGGTTAAGAGTCTGCAAAACGAAATCGAAGGAAAAAGATTCCGATAGTAGAGAACACATCAAAGAGGCTTAAATAGAGAATATAAATCAGACACTTTATCGTTTTTCGGTTACGGTTTGTGCGTGGGCTGGCGGGAAAAAGAGAGAAAAAGAGGGTCTAACCAAAAATTTTTTTTTCTTTTTTTTTTTTTTTTTGGAGACTCATGAATTTCTTCCAGAGTGATTCAATTATTTTAATTTTAATTATTATAAACTATTCAAAAAAAAAAAAAATATTTTAATTAATATTGTATTTAAAATATAGTTTTGTTTTTTTTTTTTAAATTAACATTCTAAGTATTTTTTTTTTTTTAAATATTCCTTCACGGATTCTAGACTTTATCGCAGAGTTGTAAGTTTGATGTCTGATTTCATATTGCAATCTTTTTGCATTTATCCTTTCTCACTGATTTTTATTTGCATTTTGACAAATAATAAAATTTTCTTCATCTTCTTATTCCCGCATTTTTTTATAATTTAAATACCTTTTCAATTGCCTTTTTATTTTATTTTTTTCTCTTCTTTGTTTTCTTTCTTTGTTTCAACATTTCGTTCACCCTCTTTCGTTCTTTCTTTTTTTCTTTTTTTGGCAGAGATAATATTTCTTTTTGTTATTTCTTTTACCTTTATAAAATATATTCTTTCTTTCTTTCTTTCTTTGTTCTTTTTTTTTTTCAGAAATCTTTCTTCTTTTGTAAAATTTTTTCTTCCTTCCTTTTTCTTAATTAGATTCACTTTTAGTTCTTTCTTTCTTCTTTTTTTTTTTTCTTTCTTCTACCTGTAGTTTGGCTTTCTTTCTTTTTTTTTTTTCTTTTTTTTCTTTTTTCTTTATGTATATATCCATTTTTCTTTTTTTTTTTTTTTTTTTTCTCTTTTTCTACCTGTAGTTTCTTTCTTTCTTTTTTTTAAGAATATTCTTTTCTTTTTCTTTATTTTTCTTTTAAGATTCTTCTTTTTTTTTTCTTGCTTTCTTTCTATCTTCTAAGGAAATTAAAAAACTTCTTTTTCTTCCTTTTTTTCTTATTCCTCCCTTTTTGTCTTTCTTTCTTTCTTTCTTTCTTTCTTTCTTTCTTTCTTTCTTTCTTTTACCTGTAGATTCTTCTTTCTTTCTTGCTTTCTTTCTATCTTCTACCTGTAATTTCTTCTTTTCTTCCTTTCTTTCTTATTCCTCCTTGCAGCTCTTTCTTTCTTTCTTTCTTTCTTTCTTTCTTTCTTTCTTTCTTTTTATTTCTTACATTCTTCTTCTTTCTTTCTTTCTTTCTTTCTTTATTTATTTATTTATTTATTTATTTATATATTTCTACCTCCTGTAGTTTGATTTTCTTTCTCTATCTTCTGCCCTCTGTCTGTATCAGCTTCATATATTATTCCATTTTAAAGTCACTCTCTTAAACTCTCATTTTCCATCTATCTATCTATCTATCTATCTATCTATCTATCTATCTATCTATCTATCTCCTGTTGTTTTGTTCATCCTTTCTTTACTTTTCCACCTGTCTCCGTTTCAGATATGTCTTCTCTTACTCTTAAGTTTTCCTCGTAATCTATCTATCTATCTATCTATCTATCTATCTATCTATCTATCTATCTATGTGTGTCTATTTTAATATCTATATATCTGATGGTGTTTTAATATCTATCTGAGCGTCTTTGTTTATCTATCTTTCTATCTGTATATATATATATATATATATATATATATATATATATATATATGTCACTTTGTCAGTTTGTGTTTTAATATCTATCAATTCATCCTGTTTTTAATATCTATCTATCTATCTATCTATCTATCTATCTATCTATCTATCTATCTATGCCTATTCCTCATCTATTTTCTTTACTCCTTTCGTTTTTTCTTTCTTAATACCTTTGCTTTCACTGTCACATTTTTTTTTTTTTTCTCTTTTTCCATTTGAAAATAAGTAATTTCTCATTTTTATTTCTTTTATCATATATATATATATATATATATATATATATATATATATGTATATAAATTTACTAATTTATAATATGGTCCCATCGCTAAATTATTACCATGTTTCAAAAGAATAAACTAAAACTTTATACTTAATTTTAGAATTAAATACAAAAATCCTTAGTACTGTTTCATTTTCAAGCGGTTTTGTGAATTTTTTCCTCCACAGAATTATATTGAGCACTGTTTTTTTAAAAATGATTAATAAGAACACCGGTTTATAAATGTTACTGTTCTTTCTCATTATTTTAATTTTCGCAATATATAACAATATGAAACCCCTGTTCAAAAAAAAAAGTAAAAGGTGGGTTTGTTCAGATAGACTTCCTTCGAATAGGTACGGTACTGACGAACAACAAAGACAATATTAAAGTTTGAATATAAATTTTATATTAGAAAATAGAAAAATGTAGGAAAAGTATGGAGCGACATACGTACAATTAATAAAAGAAGACTTATTTTATTTCATGAATTTGGGGCTTCAATGTACATAATAACAGACAGACAAAGTTGGTGTAGAATGTCCACACTAAAGCTGATCGTTCTTTCATCCTTAATGTGAAATATAAGTTTCCGGAATAATATGTGTGTCCACTTTCCCTTTGGTTAACTAGATTGCATCCGAGATGAAAGTAAAAAGATTTCTTTGTATTATATTTGGGCATAATATTCCTTTATCCTTTACACATTAAATAGGCCAAGCCATACGGGGTCTTTGGGGCGGAATGGAATAGTTCTGTTGGTGCATCTCTTATGAGGCGAGTCTATATTTTCTCTTATAAATCTTGTCTTTTTTTCGTCAGTAACAACACATACAATATATATATATATATATATATATATATATATATATATATATATATATATATATATATATATATATAAAAAATTGACGTCATTTTCTATATTAAAGCTTTCATTCCAACTCTTTTTGGAAGGCAATGGTTGGCGAAATACAAAATTTTCAAGACAAAACAATGATATCGAAAGCTGAGGGAAAATTTGAACTAGATTAAAATAAATTTCAATTGTAAATAATTAATAAAATGATTAACAAGTTACACAAGAGTATAAAATGGAAAAAGAAAGTCACAGTCCCCCGATCAATCGTAACGAGCGCATAAACTGCTTCTTTTGTCTACATAGTTTCCGTGTTGCGTTTATATATATATATATATCGGATGCAACAGCATGCACAAATCTTGTAACAGCATAATTGTCAATCCTACAAAATTTTTACTATCTAAAAAATGACTAAATTAATTGGGTCTCTTTTTTTCGAGTTTTCAGATGTTCACCATTTGTCGTAAGAAATCACTGAAAAACCCCTTGAGTTATTCAGCTAAAAAGGGAACAATTTAAAATCGTTTTGTGTCAAACCCACTGTCTTACAAATGTGGCACCATGCATCCGGACGATTTGAAAGACATATTTATAGATATATGATTTGCTTTTTTTTTTTTACGGTTTATCAACCATTTGATAATTATTTAGGGCCGAAAAATATTTTAGGTTTTAAGAATAATTCTTTCTTTGCATTCAAGCGATTTGGGAGAAAAGAAAGAAAAACGAAGAAGAAAGAAAGAAAAAAAAATAATACGAAACAGGTCATAGGCGAACACACACACACACAGGCAGAAACAGGTGACGGAAATGAGGAGGAAAAAAGGTTATTGTTGATAGGTATCAGATGTCGAAAATATCTAGGTCACCTACAAACAAGCGTTGACCGATTTCCGCTTATCCACAAAAAAAAATTTTGTTATCAATGGATGTCACCAAAGAAGAAATCCATTGTTGAACATTGACGAAACGTTGATGTAACTTAAGGCAAACCTTGAAAACTGGGTCTGGAAAATTAAAAAGCCCACACAAGATGTTTTCACTGGCTAAAAATTTTTTTTTTGACAGAATAACTTTTGCCCTGCGATAATAAAAATTTTTGTTATCAACACATGAGCCGAAAGGAAAATGAAATATTTTTATTTTTGCTTTAGAAACGCCAAATTAGTCTGAGAAAATTTCTTTCTTAGATCATATCCAATTAGCGATAAACTGCTTGACAAACGCCACGTGTTAAAAAAAGAGCCGAGAGTGTCATCTCGGTCGCTCATGATAAGGGCGATTTAAATTAATTTTTTTTTTTTTTTAGTTAAGCAAGGTGTTTTCTTTCCCAAAACAAAGCCACGGGTTGTTCACGCCCGACTAAAGACGTCATTGGCCAAATGGATCACATGACACACGAAGGAGGAGGAAAAATACCCGACCAGGACCTCATTGGCCGAGAGCGGTCACGTGACGCACGAAGAAAAATCGGTCGACGCCCCTATCAGAAGTGTAAGTGGGAGAAGCCGATACGAAGAAGTGGGGAAGCAGGTATACGCCCCTCAGAGGCACAGTAAGAGAGTGGGAGTGAGAAAGAGTTACCAAAAATGGAAAAGAATGGAAAATCCCTAACCAGAAATAAGAAGGGTGGATACGTATTTAGAATTATCGAAAAACCCCTGGCGCCGACAGACCCACCCCAGTTTTGACGGCGTCAATAAAAGCGAAACCCCAACCGACAGAAATCAGTTTGAGCCGCGGACGGCGGGCCGGATTGAACCGCGGAGGCGGGCCAGCCCCTTTGACGTTTGGCCTAAGAGAAGAAGTTCGTTCGAGAAGTTCGCGCACCGACGGCGGAGGAGTGACGTAATTCAGACTCTGAAGAGAAGAGAGATGAGCGCCCAGTGAGTTGAAAAGCCGCGACAAGCAAGAAACCGCGTCAAGATAGCTGACCAAGATTCACGCACACTTTTGGACTCTTCTTCAACCAAGAACAAGTAGTTTGAAGAGCGACTTAGAATCAGACCACAGAAATACGTTTTTTTTTTCGACTTTCGTCCAAAGACACACCGAAACACAAGAGAGCAGACAACTTGAAGCGTTAAAGTTTGCCTAGCGAAAGCGTCGTGTCACAATCCACAGAACGGGTCGGGAAGTAGACATAGTCCTATGTACCGAACAAATAGACATAAAAAGTTTGTTACCTTTTTCTTTGATACTTTGAACTTTGTGAGTTTTCATTTTATTTTCTTTTTTTTACATATTTGTGTTATTATCACCCCCGTTGAACTCAACTTGCATTACGGCCCCAACCCCTGTTTGATCTCGTCTGTCTAAGATCAATTCACAACGTGGGTAGGCAGACTGGAGATCAGTGCAGTTACCCTGGTAACCAGGCGTTGGAAGCAGGTTGGGAACGGCGAGGCTGGTATCAATCTAACCAAATTTACCCGAATCGTCAAGGGTTAGAACGTCACGTTTGCTGACGCAGCGACACCCGGACGGACGTCACGAGGTGCTGTCCGTGACCAGGATATCAGAGCCTGGGGAGCACGTGACGTCACAACTGGCGCCGTGGTAGATCAGGATCGAACGTCACAGTCGGCGCTGCGACCGGGGACGACGTCACAACAAAACTATGCCTTAAATAAATTTAAATGATATCAGAGCCTATATATATATATATCAATCATCACAAACTATATAACATTGATATTTCAAAAATCATTTTATACCTTCAGTAATGGTTTGAAAGAATTTATACCTTGGTTCCCTCCCTCTTCAAATCCATTCAAGAACTGTCAAAAAACGGTGAATAAACTTTTTTTAAAATTTAGCAGTATACACAGGAAAACTGGATCAGGAGGTTTCAAAAGGAACATGGATCATCCTTGCAAATTAACACTAGAGATTAATTATAGAAATGGTAACCAATAAAATCCATAAGACATTTTATATTTGAGAAGTTTATAAATGACAGTCAAAATTACTTTATAAAAATAAATGCATCTTCAAATGCGCAAATTTATTGAAAATTTTACGTAACTATTTTATGTGCACATTGTTCACTAACTGTTTCAACAGAAAGCTATTAGTATTTAAAATTAAAACCATCTTTATCTAGTGGCTTTTGAATAAGTTAAATGCAAATTATATGATTCTATAAATAATTTTATAACCTTCTAATTTAAATCCCTAATTCTGAACAGAATAATACATTATCTATGATTATGAATATTTCATTTTTGCTAACTATAGATATATACATTGATATCATGGATTCAAATAATTATAAATTCTTTTATAGGAAATTTATAGTTCAATAGAAATGATTATAAAATTTCCAGATAGATATATAATATTTAATCATTTCTAAGATACCACGATTCATAATAGATAATCTGACAAATATATAAATGATATATATTTTGTTTTTTAAGACAGAAATATAAAGATTTTTTACAAGACAATTTTACAAAAAATATTTATTTAGAAGATTTATATATATTAGATACTATGGATAAATTCTTTAAGATTGATAACTTATAAAGACGGATGCGTTAATTTTAATAAACGAACTGAAATAATAGATTTCTTTTAATTTTTCACGGACAAAAAATATATGAGACTTTGACATTCTTAAAAAAATAAGAAGGACGCGTACACACACGGAAATATATATATAATATATTATATATACGTATATATATAGACTATATATACATGCTACATTACGCATAAACACTGTATACGAGACGTGTTTTACAAAACGGACGCATAAAAAAAATGACGCGATAAGAATATTCGGAAAATTTTTAACACATTTCCAGAAATTTTCAAAAGAAAATTTTCAATTGAGAATTTAAAATTCTTGATAAATATCTCACAGTTTTAAAAACAAAAATTTCGATTTTAAAATCCAAAATTAATAGACGGACGCTATAAAAAATATTTCGACTATAAAACATTTTTACGATGTAATTTTAATCTTTCAACTCATTCACTTCTCGGAAACAGTTAAATTTAAAATTAGACAGACATATATATATATTATAAATATTATATTATATATTATACGGACGCTGGGATTTATCTTATTGAATTGAATAGACGGACGCATACATAGAATGAACTTAGAATAAGTTTTTATACAGACGCGTTTAGATGATCGCCTTTAAATGTTTTGTAGTAAATAAAAAGACAAATGATTGATATCTTACGGATCAGAATATAGATCTTAATAAATACATAACGAATAGATACAAAATATATCAAAATATTTTATGGCGATCAGAGACAACAGACTGATTCATGATATATATATATAGATATATATATATATAACTGACAGATATAAATATTTCTCCTGATGATGCTTTATTTCGATAATAATAATATCAGAGAATAGATAGATAAGATTCATAAAATAAATTTTTTTACGAAAGATATATATATATATAGATAGATATCTATGTTTATATATGCCATTTTTAAACCGGAAATATCTTTCACTTTATTTATTTATAAATATTGGGTAAAAAGACAAATCTATCACATTGGACGAATATTAGTATTTAAGAGACGGACGCAAAAGTATCGGGACTGGTTAATCAAAAACAATTTGAGACTTTCGCATACGAAACGGACGTTATTTATCTAGAGACGGACGCAACTCAGAGACGGACGCGTAACGAGACTGACGCATCTCAAGCAGATTCACAGTTGAATAAAAGACGGACGTGTAATCTTGTTCGGACGCATACGAGATTTGATTTTTTTGAAAAGATTTCTGACGCATAAAAGACGGACGCGAATATGAGACGGACGAACATGAGTGATGACGCCAAGAATCGGACGCGTAAAGACGGACGCCTATGAAACTGATTGAATCGCTGATGGTTGATAAAGACACTACGAATACATTATAAAAAAATTTATGATATCGGAAAGCACTTAAAAAGAAAAATAGATTTACCTGACATTATAGTACGAATAAACAAACGAATTTCATAAATATGATATTTTTATTCATCCAGAATTAGATATGAACAAGAAACAAATCAGAAAAACCACTGTAGAAAAATTTATTTACACCTTAAGTTCATCATTAACCGAACGTGCATTTTAAATGTGGTAAATTTTATTTGGTAAAATATTTTCTGGTGGGTAAAAATAAACAAGAACTACTGCAGAAATAGAGATATTTTTCCGGTCGGATTCGAAAATTTATCCGAACAATAAACGGCATCCTTCTGGTCATTTTGATAAAAATGGCTGTTATTTTTTATTTATTTGTCAACATTCGTCAACAAATTTCAAAGGGGTAAATTTATTTGGAAAATATTTGGAAATTTTCTTTTCGTGAAAAACTCTCCTAAAAAAAAAAAAATTTAGAGTTCAAATTTTCATGTCGACGATAAATTCCCTTAATTTCCATTGAACCCCGAAAAATTATTCAACGCCAGGAAGACCGATTTACATCTAAGGGTTTTCAGATTACAAAATTTAACGATTTTTTAATTTTAAATGTGTCACTCAATGTTTTCTTTTTTCTGCAATATATATATATATATATTTTATATACATGGTATATAAAGAAAATGCTGGGAAGAAATATCCAACAGTACCTCGTCGTTGGTGATACTATATATATATATAAATGATATAAGAATTATTCATTTAGATATCTGTTTTAGTTTTTCATCGTTCATCTATTTGATATTCAATATTTTTTTTTCAAAGTCCAGGTCTCATCTTTTAAGCGTTCTGTTTATGGTCTATTTATCCATCTTGTCTACAATATTTATCTATTTATGATTTTGTTTTTTTTTATGGTATCATGGGCTTCTCTCTTTCTTGAATATATATATATATATATATATATTCCGTCCGCAATATGAGACTGAAATATTATTTTTTTTTTCTTTTTATATCGTCGATTCAACATATGATATTGATTTTATATATTTTATTTTTCATTTAAATTATTTGAATAATTTTTTATAAATACATTTCTTTTTGAATTGTAAATCTTTTTTTGACCAGTTTTAATATTTTATAAAATTAACTCCATTTGAACCGATTACGAATTTATAATTCAGTTCAAAAGGGTATTTAAGAATTTTTCAATATAATGATATATATATATATATATTTTATATATATAAATATATAAAAAATCAAGAACAACATTAGTTTATATTGAATGAAGATGTCTGTATAAACATTACGAAATTTGTCTAAATTTTCGTTAAATAAACAACTAATACGGCAGAAATTTATATAAAACAAGGATCAAATTCATTCATAACGGATCTGAGGTTTTTGTGTAATATTTGAATTGTTTGCGAGATGGATGTCTCGCCATTTAAAATCATTAACCTTTGCATTAGTTTTGTGTGAATAATTCATGTATTTGTAAATTGATTGCACGTTTATTGTAATTTAAATAACTGATCCATGTGCGACTTTTTGAATAATAAGTGCGACATTACTGTAATTATTGAACAATATAGTTCATGCCACTTTGACAGTAAAATTTACCAGTAAAAAAATTTGTTCATTACCATATTTGGTATAAACGCAAACATTTAAAAAAAAAAAATTCAAAAATCAAACTCAGCGTTGCTTTGGCGCGTTCAAAAACCAATATCTCATTTTCAATAGCATTTTCGGATACAATACACATATATTTTCGATGTCCTCTTATTACTAAGAGAAAAAAACAAGAACAACATCTATTATATACCTGAAGATGTCTGTAGGAACAGACGAAAGCTTGTAAAAAAATAACAACTAATACGGCAGAAATTTATATGAAACAAGGATCAATTCATTCATAACGGATCTGAGGTTTTTTGTAATATTTGAATTGTTTGCGATGATGGATGTCTCGCCATTTAAAATCATTAACCTTTGCATTAGTTTTGTGTGAATAATTCATGTATTTGTAAATATATATATATATATATATATATATATATATATATATAGATATTATTGGTAAATATACATATTTGTAGGTCTGATGAATTGGATCGTATTTACGATTCCAATGGAATAAATTATGACCATGGAATATTAATGTTTAAGCCTTTTTATTATATATATATATATATATATGTATAAGTTAAACCTAAGGAGCCAGGCAAACCTACCTAGGTTTCACCTAAATGGAGCTTTATCTTAGGTTTGCTCTACTTCGTGTATTGAGCACTTTACGTAGTTGTCTTTACTCGTTTTGGAGGGTTTTTTTTTTTTGTTTGGACTTTTTGAACTCAGGATGATTGTTTTCGCCTGAAGTTCATGTTCTTTCTTTTTCTTTTATTCCTCATTTTCCTTGGGTACTGATTTGTTCTACTAAAGGCTGAAAGTTTTTTATTCCGAGTACTACCATATATATATATATATATATATATATATATATATATATATATATATTTATTTAAAATATGTATTCCATCGCACATTCCATAAAAAGTTCTCATGTTTCAAAATTTTGAATAGCCGAAAACTTCAGTATAATTATTTGAATTAAATTGAATTAAAGTAAAAAGTTCTGTTCCATCTTCAATTTTATTTTTTGGGGAATCAAAATAAAAATACAATCCCCAAAAATGTTTTGAAGATGGAAAATGAGCTTTAAATTAAATTTAATTCAAATAATTATATTTAAGTTTTCCAGGCTATTGTTTTGAAACATTTATTTAAATTTTTAATTAGTCAGTGGCATTCTAAAGAAATAAATAATTATATTTAGGCTCTACTTTTTTATCGAGCACTGTTTCTTAAAAATAATAAAAAATAGTAAAGAAATTTTTGGATTATTTACCTAACGAGTTCTTTCCTATTTTCTATATATTCGCGCACACACACACACACACACACACACACACACACACACATATATATATATATATATATATATATATATATGTGATCATTCTTTGTCATGGTAGGGGGTTTACGTGTCGCAGTGATCCCAAGAGCAAAACTGTCTGGAGTTTCAACTCCTTTAGTGTCCCCGATGGCGTTAATTTCGTGTGGGATGGATCAGACTGAACGCGGCCAACACTCGAAGACCCCAACGGCGGAATAGGCAAATATATGCAAAGGCCAAACCAATAGAAACATGGTCACTCTTAAAAAATATAGTAAAGGAATAGAGACGAAAGGACTAATCACCAATTCCAAGAACACTGAATGCATAGAAAAAGCAAAAGAAACATGTCAAGATATAAACCGAGAATGCCTTAACCGGGTATTGAACTCACACTCTTTGGGTCCTGTTACTGGATCTAACAAACGCTTTTATCCACTGTGCCATGTGTCCTTGAAGAGGCAGTGGAGAACTTTTAGAGGGAAAATTAACAGGAGATAACTGATAACTGACATCCATCAAACATGGCACGTGGAACTAGAACAGTCTACCCCAGTGAGCGAAATATAGGGTTTAGTTCGACATTCCAACCACCTGAAGAAGGCCGAAGCGTTTGGTAAGCGCTACAAAAGAGAGGAAGTTATAGAAAGCCATTATCATCCACGTTCAGAAGGGACACGGCAAATAGAAACAGAAGAAAATAAGATTTTATAGCAATTGTTAACTAGCTAGTCAAATCAGCCATTGTATGTTCATTCTTTATTGTTTACTTTAAAATGTCCTCAGTCTGATCAAATTCGTATTTTTATATTGATCAAGCCAGCACCTGTTTGAGAGCAACGATTGGCAAGGTATTGATTTTCAACTTCTCTGACACGATTGTATGTTAACACTTAGGCTTAGTGATTCAAGATATTTAAATATCTATACAAATGAAAATATGGCTACAGAAAAACAGAATTTATAGAGTTTGAGAAAATATTTATGAAAGAAAACAAATATATGATTAATTTACATGGTACATCATCATATAATAAGCCACGCGTGGGCATACGGTTATATCACGTTGAAACACTCATCCGATCAGCGAAGTTAAGCAACGACGAGACTGGTCAGTACCTAGATGGGTTCGTTATGTCCACTTACAAAAATACATTGGGGTGATAATGACTTGAAATACATCAAAATTAAGATCAAGTAAAGATGAGTTGAAATAATGATAAAAATAAATAATAGTCAAATCAAGGTGAATGAAGAATCAAAATTAAAATGCAAGTAAAAATGCGTCAAAATTAAGATCAAAGTAAAGATGAGTCTAACTACAGATGAATGTGGACGTGAGTAAAAGTTAAGATCAAATCAATGACGTGTTTAAAATAAGACCTTATTTAATACAGTGTAACCCGGATATAAGAGACCCGGATATAAGAGAAACCCGGATATAAGAGAGATTTTCTCTGGTCCCAAATTAGAGCCTGTGTTACCTAAACAAAATAGACCAAACCCAGATATAAGAGAAACCCAGATATAAGAGACTTCTTCTCCGGTCACGACAACTCTCTTATATCCGGGTTACACTGTACCATAACTCCCCATGTATAATACACCTTCATTCATTATACGTACACTTAAAATTGTGCTGAAATTGTACGAAAATGCTTCTACTCGCGCATAATACGCACTCCTTATTTGGTAATCAAAACATATAAATTGTACCTCTCCAATTTCATTACGGCCAGCGTTTCCTACTCTTATTTAAAAATGTTTTTAAACATAGAATATTATTCTAATTTAGTTTTATGATAATTTTTATTGTATTTTACGGCAATTTTTTAATGATTTTTTGCAGTTGTACATAATACGCACCCTTGATTTTGCTCATTATTTTTTTAGAAAAAAAATGTTTATTATACATGGGGAATTACGGTAATAGTTAAAATTATGGCCAAAGTATATATTAGTCAAATTTCAGATGACAGTAAAGGTTAGATGAGTTAAGAACAAAATAATGATATGTCAAAATTAGGACCAAATTAAATACTAGTTAAAATATTGGTCAATGAGCCAAAATTAATGCCAGTATTTTGACGGAAGCATTCTTTACTGTTTCTGACTTACTCTCTTCGCTACAATATATTAAGATCAAAGTAAATATTGGTCACATTTTACGTGTACCTTAATAGATACCGTGCTTTGCCTTCATTCGAATACATGTAAACCTGACGTGTGCCTTTAAACCTAGCGTTTTAATCATCTATAATGAAACTGCAGTTAAGTTTTTATCTTATCTTACACATTTTAATTTCAACTCTTTGAGAGAGATTAAAATCACTGTGTTTTCCGCATCTGTATTGTTTTGTTTCCCTTTTGTTTGTCCATTTTTTTAGTTTAGTTACTTTTTACGTTAGTCACCGTTTTTTTACCCCTTCCTCTTAGCCTTTAGTTACTGACAAAACCGGCACTGTAAATTCATGGCCTCAAGCAAGCGGTTTGTATTTTTCTGATTCTCCCAAATATTACACCCATCGACGAGAGCATCGCCGGCATGTAACCTTTAACACCTTTCTCTCTCCATCGGCCTTCTTTAATGTCATGTTATTATCGGAACTTTATTTAAGGTAGCCACCTTTTACATATTAATTTCATGCGTGTATCTCTGTATGTAGAATCCTATTCGCTAGGGGTTTCCTGTTTATACCCTGTTCCCAAATGTAACTTTCTTCCTTTCTGGGAAGCTATCAAATCAAACTATATACACATTTATGTAAGCAAAGTCTCTTTTTCTAGTTTTAAGATTTGGCCTGCTGACGAACAGGATTTCGCCTTGAGAGTTTTAAATGCGGTAAGGTGTTTATCTGGCTGTTTTGATGTACGCACGCGCTTGAGACGACGAAGGCGTCGAGACGGTCGCGTAAAGACTGTAAAACAGAGACGGACGCGTCGCGTACGAGGTCGCGACGCTGACACGTACGACGGACGCGTACGAGACGGCGCGTACGAGACGGTCGCGTACGAGACGGTCGCGTACGAGACGGTCGCGTACGAGACGCGTACGGACGACGCGAACGTTTAGGCGACGCGTATAATACGGACGCGTACTCAGAAGCGTGATAATCACTATGAATACATTACGAAAGTATTATGCTATGCTGTGTAACAAAGATAAGAAAACGTATAGATCATTGTACGTGCATTGATAGAGAAAAAGAAGTATAGGAAGAAACAAATGAAGATCTGTGCGTGTTCAATATATAAACAAAGATAGAAAAGCATAGAAAAAAAACTTGTGTTTCTACAGGGGATGTTTATGTCTTTTATGCTGAGTGTATTGAAACAAAGTTAAACCCTTCAGTATGTCCCTTATTCTTTGGGGTGCAGAAATTATTTATGGGAAGTAAGTATGAGAACGGGGAAAGACGGTCGAGCTCTAGTTAGCCTCGCGCTGAGTTGGGATGACCGAATCTCTATTTCACGAGTAGGGCTGCTGAAAACACGTCAGAACGATCTCGTTACAAAGTGAAAGATTCTGTTCTTTCCGGAAGTGTTGGATGGGTCATAAAATCGCACCAGAAACCCTTTCCGGTTTCTTTAGAAATTTATTTATTTTTAATGTTATTTTATTTATTTATTGGTTTCAGTTTCCAACAGATCCGAAATGTGGAAGAATGGACGACAAAGAGCAACAAATGTCAACGAAAAAGTTTTAATTAAGGATCCTTTTTACTCTCACCATATTTTATTTTCGATTCCACATTTACTATTTCCTTCCTCTTTTTACTGTGTGTGTGATGGTAGTTTTCAGCCATTTTTTTTCTTATCGATTGCCAAAGGGAAAAAATGTGATCGTCGCCGTTTTATTAACAATGTAATTTGTTATGTCGACTGAATGATTTATTTCTATCCCTTCTTCTTCTTTCTCATCATTATTATTATTATTATTATTATTATTATTATTGCTGCTGTTTTTTTTGTTGTTGTTGTTGCTCGTTTTTCTTCATTTTGCAAAGGTAAATAAAGAAAAATGCTGAAGTTATATTTCAACACTTTTTTCTTCTATTTTCCTCATATATTCTTGTTTTTTTTTCTTTTCACCTTGATTTTTTTCTTTTATGTTTCTTTTTTGTTTTTCGATATGCCTTTTTCTTTCCTCAGTTCTGGCATACAATTGTTATTTCTTTAATTTAGATAGCTTTCTTTATGTCTTATATATTTAGTTCTGACCTCCCTGCTTTCTTTCTTTCTTTTTCTCTTTCATTCTTTCTTTCTTTCTTTCGTTCTTTCTTTCATTATTTCTTATTTTCTTTTCACCTCGATTTTTTTCTTTGATGTTTTTTTTGTTTTTGTTTTTTGAATATGCCTTTTTCATTCTTCAGTTCGGGCATACAGTTGTTATTTCTTTAATTTACATAGCTTTCTTTTGTTTTATATATATATATATTTAGTTCTGATCTATAGTTCTGACCTCCCTGCTTTCTCTCATTCTTTTTCTCTTTCTTTCTTTCTTTCTTTCTTTCTTAATCTTTCATGTAATTTTCTTTGTTAGTCCTGCTAATTTTTCTTGTTACTTTTGTTTTCTGTAATTTAATTCCATTATTTATTTATTCTTTTTATTTATTTATTTCCTTCTTTTTATTAGTTTTTCTGAGTTTGTTTTTTTTTCTTTTTTTTCGTTTCGGAAAATATATTTTTTTTTTTTTATTTATTTATATTTATTTATTTATTTATATACTTATCTCCATTTCGTTCTTTTTGTTAATTCTTTTTTTTTTTTCAAAAATCTAGTTTATTTTATTTCTCGTTTTTTTCTCTCTCCCTTCTTTGTTTCTTCTTTTTTTTTTTTTCTTTTTTTGTTGTTTTTAAAAAAAAATTATCTTTCTTTTTTCGGTAGAAATTTATTTTCCGAAAATTCGTTCTTTTTATTTCTTTTTTTTTTTCTTCTTTCTTTCATTCTTTCCTTTTCATTTCTTTTTTTGGTTCTTTCACACTTTCTTTCTTTTTTTCTACCTTTTTCTATTTTGTGACAAACGTATTCTTTTTTTCTTTATTTTCTTTCCACACGCTCTTACTTAATTTTTCTTTTCTTTCTCCATATTCTCTTTCTTTCTTTCTTTCTAACTTTTCTTTCTTTTCTCTTTTATTTCTTTCTTTCTTTTCATGAGGATATTTTTTTTCCTTTCTTTATTCTTTCTTTTTTCCGTATTTCTTTCTTTTATTTCAAACTTTTTTTTTTTTTTCTTTCTTTCTTTTCTTTTTCTTTCTTTCTTTCTTTTCATTCTTTTTCTTTCTTTTCTTTTTTTCTTTCCATTTTTTCTTTTACTTTTTATTTTTTTTAATATTTTCTTTCCTTTCTTTTTATTTATTTTCTTTTTTTTAAACATTTCTTTCTTTATTTTCTTTTTTTCTTTCTTTTCATTTTTTCTTATTTTCTTATTTTTTAATTTTTTTTTCTTTCCAATTTTCTTTTCCTTTTTTTTTTTTGGAGTTTTTTCTTTCTTTTTTTCTCTACTTTATTTCATTTTCTTTATTTCTTTCTTGTTTTTTTTTTTTTTTTTTCATTCATTTTTTTTCTTTCTTTTTTTTTTTGAAAATTCTTTTATTCTTTCAATTTTCAATTCATTCAGATCTTTCTTTATTATTTTTCTTTTCAAATCTTTTTTTAAATTGTTTGTTCCATAATTTTTCTTTTCTAACGATTTTTTTTTCTTTCTTTTTTTATTTTCTTTTTTTTTAATTTTTATTTCTTGATTATTTTTTCTTTTTTTCATTTTATTTTTCATTTTTATTTTAATTCAAAATAATCTTTTATTTTTCTTTAATCTTTCTTTATTTTTCTCATTTTTCCTCCCATTCTTTCTTTCTTTTTTTTGATTTTTCTTTCTAAAATTTTTCTAAAATATTTTTATTTTATTTTTTCTCTTTATTTGTTTCTTTTTCTTTTTTTCTTAAATTTTTTTCTTTTCCTTTTAAATATATTTTTCATTCAGTTTTTATTTCTTTCCTTTTCTTCTTTTTTTTAATTTTATCTAAACTTTTTTTATTTTTAATCTTATTTCTTTTTTTTTATTCCATTTTTTTTTAATTTTTTCTTTCATTTCAACATTAATTTTTTTCAAAATTTTTTAAATAAATTTTTTTTTTTCTTGGATTTGTTTAGAAAATAAAATTTCAAAATATTGTCTTTTTTTTATTTTTGATTTTTTTTTTTCAATTTTTATTTTTTTTTTTTTTAAAATTTTTCTTCAAAATTTTTTTTTTAGATTAAATTAAATTTTTACTTTGTTCTTTTTTTTATTTCATTCGGATAAAATAATTTCATTATTTAAAATATTTTTAAAAAATTTATATAATTCCAATTTTTTAATATTTTTTTTAAAAGATCTTAACTTTTTTTTTTTATAATATCTTTAATTCATTTTTGAATTTCATTTATTTTTTCTTTTTTTTTTTTTTCAATATTTACTAGGCTGTAAATTTTTAGTTTTTTATGTTTTGAAAAAGGAAATTTTAAATAATTTGCTTTTTAATTCTTTTAATTTATTTCTTTTAATATTTTTAAAGATAAAATTTTTTTTTAAATAATTTTTTTAAATTTTCTATTTTTGATTTTTTTTCAACAATTTTTTAACTTTCATTATATTTTTTATATATATAAATATATTTATTTTTTCATTTATATATTTTATTTATTTTCTTAAACTTTTTTTTTTAATTTCAAATATTTTTTTCTCATTATTTTCTTTTTATTATATTTTAAAAATTTTTATTCTACCTTATCTTTTTTGTCTATCTATTTTTTTCTTTTATTTATTAAAGCATATTATATATATATATTTTTTCCAAAATATACATATTTTAAAATCTATATATATATTTTTTTTAAATTATTTTTATATATATATATATAAAATAAATTTTTCATATATTCCATCTTTTTTCAGGTAAATTTCCCAGATATTAAATTTATCTTGTGAAAAAAAATTTTCATTCATTAATGAATCATTTTATTATTCTCAGTTATTTTATATAAAAAAAAATTCTTTCTTGAATTTATTAATTTTCTTTTTTTGTTTTTGCTTTAAAATTTTTTATAAAATTATATGATATATATATATATATAAATTTTTAATTGATGTTCAATAATGAATCCCAACAAAAATTTTATTTTTATTTTTAATCCAAAATTTAACATTCACTAATCATTTCATAATTTATAATATGAATTTTGTCATGATTCTTTTAAATTTTTTGAATATTTTTAATAATATTTCAATTTTATTTGAAAAATTTTTAATAAATATCTTCCATTTTGAAATATAATTGTAAAAAAAAAAAAATGATTTATTCAATATTCTTTAAAAAAATTTTTGTTTATTAAAAAAACTATGATTTCATGTCCTTCATTTATATTTAACATAATCTATTTTAATTTCAAAACGATACAAAATGAATTTCTAAAAATTATAAAAAATTTCAAATCTTTTAGTTATTGTTTATTTTTAAAATTCAAATGTTAAATTTATTTATTTATATTATTTTATATATTTTTTTTTTAAAATGATAAAAAAAATAATGATCAAAAAAAAACATTTAATTATTTTTTAATTTTTTAAAATGTTAAATTTTTTTTTTTTTTAAATCTTTTAAATTTGTAAGATTTTCAATGTTTCATCAATATTTTTTAGAAATGTTTAAAATATAAAAAAATAATATTTTCAATTCAAATTTATTTTTACTGAATATATTAGGTAACAATAAAATTTTTTTTTATTTATATAAAATTTCCTTAAATTTGATTTATATTTAATATTGAAATATAAATGTTTAAAAAAATTTTTATATTTTCAAATTGTTAAAAAAATAATTGTTGTAAAAAAAAAAAAAATTCTTTATAAATTTTTTAACAACTTATTTATTTTTATTATCTTAGATATTTCATTTTTGTTTTGTTGAAAATTTCTTTTTAATTAACGGCTATGATAAATATTAAAATTATCTTTTTTTATTTATTATTTATAAATTTTATATTTTATATATTTTAAAAATAAAAATTGATTTAATATTAGATTCAAATTTTATTTGTTTCAATATTTTAAAGTCGTATCCATTTTAAATTTTTTTCTATGATTAAATTTAAAACTTTTTTTAAAAAAAAAAGGTTTTAATGGTTTCAAAAAAATTAAATT